CAGAGCCACCATTTCTACTGCTCCTATACCCTATTCCAATCCTACCAGCTAGCCCCCTCACTAGTAGGACGCATGATATCCAACCATCTCCTTCTCCCACTCACCTCGTTTCTTTTTAGAATAGACCGCCGGGGTCCTAAAAGAAACTTCAAGAATCTCGACCTCCCTACCAAACCTTTCCAGAGTTCCCCAAAGTTGTCTTACTCCCTGCCGAGCTCTTCCAGGGCTCACACCCCCACTTCTTGCTGGGTTACAGGGCAACACAACTCGCCCCAGCTCCGGCTAGCGTCATCCCAGCAGCAAACCTTGGTTGTCCCGTGAGATGCCCACCCCAAAACATCCCGAAATCTATTAGGCCTCACGCTCCTGCGTCAACAGGTTACAGGGCAACACCCCAGCACCGGCCAGCGTCGTTCTGGCATCGAACAACCGCAGATCGCTAAGTATAACAACTTCAAAGCAGCCTAGGAAAAGTTGATAAAAGCCCCAAAATCCTAAACATTCTCAAGTCCCCCTTAACGGCAAAACAAGATAAAATTCAGAAAAAAAGGGGGCAAAACTAGAAATTAATACCACTATCCTAAAATCCCCCTCTCAACAAGCGGACCGTCGGTTCTGGCTTTCAGTCCTCGTACCTGAACTCACCTGGTCTCATACCCCCCTCTACTAGGGTAACAGGGCACCACAACCCTCCCCAGTACCGACCAAGCTAGTTCTGACGGACAGGAAGTGCCTACCTCCCTCAACAATTCCTTTAGCGGCAAACCCCTAAACAGGTTACAGGGTCCACACTACATTGGACGATCTGGTTATGCCTTCCACCCTCGGCATAACTCCATGGACCTCAAGCTCCCCCTCGGTCACAGAGCATAGCTCCAGCACCGGTCTATGTCATCCCAACATCGTCCTCCTGACCTACTCACCTTAATCGATATCTCCCGTCTGTTGAAAGTCCCCTTTCATTCTTTCCATCCACCCATTCTAGTTTCCCCCTAGGCAACCATCAACAGAAAAAGCACCACCACAGCCTTAGATCTTTTCATCGAAAATCAGAAACAAAGTTAAGAATCTATATGTATCGTGTTTGTGAGAAGTGAAATTTAAAGATGAAATCAATTAGTAATCAAGGAAATTTAGGTCATGAATTTCTGGCATCCAATTCAGAAGGAAGCTTCGAAAACAAGAACTGATGTCCTTATAGACTTTCGATAACTTGGAACCCAATCAAAATCAGCTTGTTACCGCGATTGAACTTTTTTTTCCAAGGAAAAACAATAGAAAAAAGGATTGTGATGTCCGAACCGAACTTTCGACTCTAATTTCCGGAACCCAGGGTCCAGGAAATCGCTCAGACCGTAAATCAGGAAAATGGTAATCAGAACTCCACTATTCTTGACATGCACAAAAGACAAAAAACATGGCGTTGTATCTTTCCATGTTCTTGCGGAAGATTCACTCTCTTTTTGCATATTTGGAGGAGCAAGGCAAAACGAGAGTGAATCTTTCGCTAGAACATAGAAAGATGCACCGCCACGAGTCCCCAAGGATGACACGGGATCTGAGAAGGAAATTGAAAAGAAACCGAGTTGTTGTCAGCACGTATCTCCCTTAGTGTCAGTAGTGAAACAGTTTTCACCTTTTGCAGTAGCAGATGCAGACCCCAGGGCTCGATCCCTAGCCCTTACCCTACTAGTGTACAGTATCCGTGTCGGCCCCAAGGCTTGAATGCACGACCTGTGTATTTGTAACAGTTAGTAGATTATCGCAGGGTCCGTACGTAGCAGGGGTTCGATCTGTAGATCTGTAGAATAAAAGTCTTAGTGAGATCCAAAAGTCCTAGCTGTAGTCCTTCTAGAAGGTGGGCAAGTGGGCAAGTGGGCAAGTGGTGAGCCAAGTGGTGGACTAACTGCAGTACGATTGCAGTGTGACCTCGGTAGGATAGCAGTGTGTCTCCAGGTAGTAAGAGGTGCAGTCAAGTCAGTCCTAGTCCGGTCCAGCAAGTACCATGAGGGATTGTGTGCACCATGGGCTGATGGAAAGAGGCAGATCAACGAGCTTCAGAAGTATAAACCAAGAGGCAGCGCCCAACCATTCATTCATTCATTTCTGCATGCCATGCGGAAGCGCTGCCACAACGACTTGTGCAAGGAGGTCTGCAGTGAGCCCGGAGTTGAAGTGGGCGAGAGAGGTGGAGCGTAGCATATCAATAGGGCAGTTGCAGCCATAGCCGCCATAACTAGAGTTAGTGTGTAACATGTGTGTGTGTGTGTGAGTGCAGAGTAGCGCGTGTGGGATATCCAGGGTGATTCGGTGTATGCGAACAAAGAGTTGTTGGGCGCTGAGTCGCCGTAGCCATTGAAAGTGAACTCGTATTTGGGTTACCATATCTCTGAGTTTTGAGTGGGCGCATGTCGCCAGTTTGCTGCGCTACTGTTTGCATGCGTGTAAAGTGTCAATGAAAGCAAGTCAGATTGCATTGGTATCGGAGTTGGTACCTGCTATTCCATGCGCCCCGTCGTGTGCAGGGCCTGATGCGCCATAGCTGAGGTGGCCGCCAAAAGAAGAAGTCCGCCATAGCGGACTTGGAGGTTGGAGAAGCCGCCGCGCACCTGCAGAGAAGACCACGACGAAGAAGAAGACCAAGAGAGAGAGAGAGAGAGAGGAGAGAGAAAGGTTGAGCGATACAAGATTGGGTTACTAAGTACCTGCTGCGCTGGAGGTACCGCTACGG